CGAGCTTGAGGTTTTTCTTTTGCGTAATCCGTTAAATTCAATTTAGCCTAAGGTCCGAAACGATCCAACCATGAACACGAGCGCAAATTTTGGAATAATTGAAACTTGTAATTTTGGTTTATGTGCGTTTTTGATTGAGGTGACCAATAATTTCTATTGCAGCGAATCCTATGTCTATCTTTAGTGATTTTAAATATAGCGAATTTTCCCCTTTTGAGTTAGGATTGTTCATGAATTGTGGCCAATCGGCGCCCGCTGAGATAAAAGTTCTGGGAGTCGACGAACTCTCAAATTTGCGTCGATCTGAGCCCCTTTTGATTATTTTGTGCTAAATTGTCTTTCCCGGTGGCGAATCGAGAAAACTATTATATTTCTAAAATATCGTCTCCCTTCCGTTGGTAGGTTGAAACTATTCAATCGATCCGATCTTTAGCTGACTTTCTGTTTCACTGATTCACTTATCTCTCGCATAATTGTCTAGCGAGAATTACTTGTCTAATTTCATTTTCTTTTGGGCGACCTTCCGTCGAACCCGATTTTATTGTAAAATTTCTGTGTTCTCACGCCTTAGTTTGTTAATCCAATTGTTTTCTATTTCTTTTATTGTCCGAATAAATGCGTGGAATATTGGTACCAAATTCGATTTCACTTTTTCTTTTTGGTAGATTGGCTGAATTCCCCTGCCTCCCGCGAGCCTATTATGAATCCCCAGATAAGCTGAGTTTTCCCTTTTCCCCGCATTTTGGTCTTACCCCGCCCTCTCCAAACCTGGCGCGTGCGCTCTGAGCTAGTCGGCCGTGCCGCGACGATCGTCGAGGCGGAGATCGTTCGAGCCTAGTCTTTTGAGTTCATTTTGAGGTTGTAGAGATTTGTTCGAGAGTTCCGTAACTTTGAGATTGTCGAGTCGTTGAGATTGTTGAGCGTTGAGAGTTTGTTTTTTTGTCCTCAGGGGAAGTCTGGCGCCCAACTTCGTGTCTCGTTCCTGAAACCGGGATATATTTTTGAGTGGCTCGGACGGATCCGCCTGAACGATCGGGCGAAGGTGACGAGCGATCGTCCGGGCGCTGCGGGCCCGGAACCTATCCCCCTTCGTGTCCTTTATCGACACCTCGTTCTTCGTTCCTTTGACATCCGTCAGAACCTATAGGGACTCATGCCACGGTATTTCAGGCCGAAACGGTGGCAATAACAAAAAGTGTCGAAAACCTGCTTAAGATGCAAGGACATGCTAGACACATAAACAACTGCACGGATAGTCGAACTGCTATTGAAGCACTGGCCGGCGCCACCACGGTGTCAGCCACCATGTGAAAATGTATGCAAGACTTGGAGGAGCTAGGGACCCGAACTAGAGTAACTATAATCTGGGTACCTAGACACCAAGGTATACCAGGCAATGAAGTGGCGGACGACTTGGCAAAGGAAGGAGCACTAGATGTACCTCTGAGACAGGATGTAGGGACTCCTTTTGCGGAAGGAAAGCGGGAGATCAAAAACTCCCTCGAGCGAACCCATGAAAATCGATGGAGGAATGCCAAAAGCTTCCAAGAAGCAAGGAAACTGATGAACAAACCATCAACAGAGAGAACCGAGGAACTCCTGAGGATAAGCAAGGAAAGACTGAGGCTAGCCATAGGCCTCCTCATTGGGCATTTTTCTCTACGAGCACACATGCATAAATTTGGATTGTCTGATCAATCCGACTGTCGATTGTGCAACGAGGACATGGAGGACAGCATGCACATTCTGTGTGATTGCCCTGTCCTGGCGTGTCGTAGATACCGGGAACTAGAGAAAACATTTTTAGATTCCAGCGACCTAAAAAACCCTGAGGGTGGGCAGCCTAATCTGCCTAACGAAAAGAGCAGGGCTGGGGCTAGCGAACCAGCATCAGTAAAGCAGCGGGAAGGTACAAAGGATTTCTAGATCTAGGTGGCAGAGGGACAGGAGCCAAATGCAGCACTTAACCTTAACCTTACACAATAGTGGTTGGGGATTTTGACGTGTTTCCTCGTCTCTGACGTCATCAATTCAAAAGGGCTAACTCGCCTTTACTGGACTCTTAAGGAGAAAGGGTACGTTTTAAAAAATGTATGTACAGTAGGTACTCCCACATCGGAAATATGGAATGAAACCTATTGGAGAAATTAGTGCTTTTTCAGTGCTATTTTAGTACTACAACCTCGATTTTAGTGCTCCACCCCTTATACAGAAAATCGGTGGCGGTGCTGAGTGAACGTTCACTCAGCACCCCCACAGTGTATACTACGTTAAGGGAAAGATTTACGGAAAAAACGAGGATGCAGCATTTTGGTGCTATTTCAGTGCTTTACAAATACCCAAGAGCCAGATTCGAAACACCACCTCTTTCACGCCAATACTATTCCCGATCGTATAAGCGCCAAGAGTGAAGAGGTAGAAATAATAATACATTTTACACGTTCTTCTCTCGCATTAATTTGGTGTTATTTAAGTGCTTTAAGAACATCCAAGAGCCTGATTCGAAAGACCACCTCTTTCGCCACAAAACTACCCACAATCTTATAGGTTCCGAGACAGAAGAGGTAGAAATATGAAGATTTTGCACGTTCTCTTTCCGCATTATTTTGGTGCTATTTATGTGCTCTAGAGATACCCACGAGCCAGATTCGAAAGATCACCCCTTTCACCCCAAAACTACCCCAACTGTATGGGTCTCAAGAGTACTTGTAAAGTAATAAGCAGCGATAAATTAAGCAGCACAGGAGAAATATTAGGTATTCGATTCCTTCTGTCTTGAGGCCCATACGGTTGGGGTAGTTTTGAGGTGAAAGGGGTGGTCTTCTGAATCTGGCTCATGGGTATACCCAGAACACATGAACAACACCAAAATAATGCGAGAGAAGAACGTACAAAATGCGTTACTATTTCTATTTCTTCTATCTTGGAGCTTATATGATCGGGGGTAGTTTTAGGGTGAAGGGGGTGGTGTTTCGGATCTGTCTCTTGGGTATTCCTAAAGCACTTAAATAGCACCAAAATAATTCGAGAAGAGAACATGCAAAATGTTATTATTTCTACCTCTTCTCTCTGGGCGTTTATACGATCGGGGGTAGTTTTGGGGCGAAAGGGGTGATGTTTCGGATCTGGTGCTTAGGTATTTTTAGAGCACTAAAATAGCACCAAAATGCTGCATACTCTTTTTTTCCGTGAATCTTTCCCTTAACGTAGTATGCACTGTGGGGATGCTGAGTGAACGATCACTCGGCACCGCCACCGATTTTCGGTATAAGGGGTGGAGCACTAAAATCGAGGTTGTAGTACTAAAATAGCACTGAAAAAGCACTAAATTCTTCAATAGGTTTCATTCCATATTTCCGATGTGGGGGTGCCTACTGTACATACATGTTTAAAAAAAGCCCGAGTTGACTGTGCTGCCCCATAACAAGTAGGGGCAACACTTGTGGCGTAGCGTCGAGGCTGTACCGTGCCTTGGAAGTTACGGCACAGTGATTTTGACTTTAAACAGCCCTATCCCAGGAACGTCGAGCGTAATAGTCACAGGGTGCCGGGCCTCGATAAAAATGTCATACTTCACGTAAAGAAATAAAGACTTTGTTAATAGGCAATTCATTAGAAAACAGATAGATATTGTACTACGCAACAAAAGAACTCGACATTTATGTTTTGTGCATTTTCGCGATGTATGTACGTATTGCGTCGAATGGAAAATTCTACAAGGGTTCCGGTAAGTACGGTCATGTAGCCGGCTGTTTCTGCCAGTCGTCCACTGCGCATCTTCTACCGCGCATGACTTCACGGTGTCCAACTAGCGCTCATGCAAAGAATTCAGAAGTCTCCACAGAAGCCCAGAAGGATACGGACGTTCGATGCTCGATAAATAGTATGTTAGCCAACGGATGGCAGTGCTGTAATCATATTTCCATCTCTCTTAATCTTATGGCGATATATAGCGATTGCATTTTTTCTTTATCTTACACACAATGCTCGCCTTTCTATATGCGTCTCTCATCCTCCCGTATGCGAGATATCGTTGGCTAACACATGCGATCTCTCTTTTACCCTCACTTCTGGTTTGTTAACCAACTTTTAGAGCATCAAGCGCTAACATAGGATATGGACTTCTGAATTCCTTGGCTCATGGCAGAAATTCGCTCGTTTTATGCGAGGGAAATGTTCTCGTGACGGCTTCGCATATCGCACCCAAAAATGTCGCGTTCAACTATTCAACGGGGGCGGTTCCCAGGGATATGGGGGTAAAGTTGACGAGGGTACAACTTTCTCTGTGACCTTTTTTTTATTTTCATCAGTGGTTCTGTGTAACGATGCCATAAGCGTTTGACGAGCAACGACACAGGCCATGTTGGACCGCCATGACAGATTTGTGGGCTGCCAGTACGGATGTGTACGCATTATTTACATTTTTTTTTATAAATAATTGAAAAATCGGATTCTGCAGGGAAAGTTATATTTTCGGAAGGCTATGATCTCATCCAATCAAGTTAGTGAAAGTACATTCTGTACAGACATTTTTGGGTGCGAAGTTTCCCCTTTTCCAGCTCTCATAAGTGTGAATATGCACAGAGAGAAAATGATGTACCATTCCCCCTTAAAAAAAGCCTTATTGACTGATTTTTTACTTAACCTAGACCAGAAACAAAAAGGCGCCGTGCTCTCATATTTCGATCAATATACAATTCTTGAAGGCCTTAATTATGAGAAACGAAAGTGTCAAAAAGATCACACAGTAACTTAGCACACCGTAGTAACTGACAAACGTACATTTGAACGTAATAAAGGAAAAAAAGTATCATGAGCTATTATAGTAAGACAAAGGTAATACGTGGTTTCAGAGAAAATATTTAGTTGACACTTAATGCCACGGATAGCGCGGGATAGATTTCTATAGTCAGAGTATTCAAACTCATGAATCCCGAGGATTTCTCAAGTTTTACTTCGACTTTTTTATAATCATTGTACGGAAATGACGTGGAGTAAGCTATTCTGTACAAATATTATTGTAGTATGCCACAGTTGTCACAGATTTGAACATTGGTACCGTAGATAGTTAGAATTCCTTTTTTTACTAATGATTAAATTCCTCAAGGGCTTTCACTTCACCTTAAGGTGATAGGAAAGTGGTCCTCTTAGATGTCAAATTCTTTATAAAACTTTTCTTTGAACTGGCTGCATCGAATTATTTTGAGTATTCCGTTCTATACGATACAGCTGCCAATATAATAAATATATGACTCGGTAACTGTTTTAGATGATATATCAGTTAAAAGAATATTTTTAACGTCTGTTAAATTTCTCAGTTTTTCATATTACCTTAAGCTAGTTTTAGGAATACCATATCGAATAGCTTACATTTATTTCATTGATGAATGACTTCAAAGCTATAATGACCTCATTGACCGAAGAAAATTTGTCTCCCTTTGGAATGGGCACTCCCACAGGAAGGGAAGCCTTATGTTGTCTTGAAGCAATAGTAGGTGCCTTCGTCAGGTCCAGTTTGTCTCTGGATAAAAAACTCCATGCTAAACCCCATCTACGGCATTGCATTAACTGCTATTTGAAATGGTCTATTACATGCCCGCTAGGAAATTATAATAGAAATTTCAAAACCTTTTTGTATATCCTTGGCAAAATTCTGTACACGTCGTATTAATAATGTTTCTCCGTTCCATCTCTTTCATCAAAAGTGATAAACTGCTCTTTCGACCTACCATCGTGGTATACAATTTAATTTTTTCTTTGATCTCAATGCTGTCCTCCATTATTCGTTGAATAAACTGCACTTCACCTCCTTCCGTCAAAAGTTCTCCACCGGACCCTGATGGTGCGCTCCTTGCAGGTTGCTTCTTAGGTTTTTTTTTTAAGTGTTTGTCAAAACCAAAGAACGGAGGATTGCACATTACAAAGGAATACTGTACATCTTCTGGGATAACACCTTTCAAGATCTTATTTTCATTCACGTGGATCACTGTGAAGAAGATATTTCTATAACATCAAAGATTATTCATACTTTTGTCAGGAAGACTGACCTTTTATAAGGTGTTGCAAGTTATTGCGTTTAATGTTATTCACAGCTGATTCAATACTCAATGAATCAACTTCGGTTCCAATTATTCTGCTTCCATAAATTTGAGCAAATAACAGTGGATATATACAAACGGCACCAGTGCCTGAAACCATAAATGGTTCCTTATAAGAAATGTTGTAAATAATATTACAAAAAGTACACTATATTTTTATGAATATACCTATGTCTATACCATGAAGCAAGCTCATATCTGTACATCCAGCATATCGCATTAAATCCTCGACCCACAAGATGTAATTTAAACGAAGCGGCAAAGCAGGTATCAATTTTGTCAAAGGAATGTCCACCTCTAAATCAAAGTCATGTTTCAGAAGCGTTTTTGCTAATATTCGTAAGCTTTCTTCATTCTTAAAATTGAGCTTTACATTTCCTGACAGTTCCTACAATGCACCTGTACATTAATTTTATAATACAGATGTAATTCAAACCGATTATAAATAAAACAGGGTGTAATGGTGTCATACGTCAGATTTCGATATTATTCTAAATTATGACGTTCTAGAAACTAATTTTTCCAATTATAAGTTCATTACTTATTATTAATTACATTCATACCACTATGGTATTCTGTCGAAACTCTGGATACAACAGAGCCAGTTGTTTAAAGTCAGGTTTTTTCCTGTATTTGTTCCTCGGGTGCATGAACTTCTGCAGGCTCATTTTTATTTGTTTCATAAGTATCTTCCACGCTTTAACATTTATTTATTACTCTCCCACCAGTACACTGGACTCCATCGATGACTTGCACCTGGTCCGCACTGCCCTCTCCGGCCGCGCAGCGTACTAGCGGCGGGAGCAGCGCGGAATTCGAATCGCTCGAGGGGCAGAATGGATTTCCTAAAGAGAATAAATATT